GAATTTGTTGGGAAATACTAGTGTATGGTTATGTTAGGTGACTTGCTTATTACAAAAGAGAGTGAGAAAGAAGGCTTCACCAAGCCTCAAGCTTGTCACTTTACAGCACATCCATCAATCTCTCACTCTCGTATCAGATGTTGAAAAATACATGAGGGCGTTTGGCCATGGCTTAGCTTAAGCAACACCGCACTCTCTCACAAACAAAGCTGCAACAGCACGAGGACCGACGGACGGAACCACCCATCTGCTTTGCTTTGCCAGCCTAGCTGCTTCCTAGTTTGGTGCCGCGCCTCTTTCGCCACACCCATCATTTTGATCTTTTTGTCTCCTCTTTTGTTAACAGATTACTTAGAATGCATACAAAATTGACTATACTCGAATTCAAGTCGTTGGACGACGCTATTGTAAGCCTTGATTACTAGCTAGTTGGACCTAAAAGTTCGCACATATACATTGTGATTGAATTTAACTCTCGTATCACTTGTCAAGACTAATATAAAGAGATTCGAGTTATCAATATTTGAACGAAACAAAAATATCAAGAAAAGATATATAGTATCCGGTTTTAAATTTTTCTATTGAAAAATATCTCGTATAAAATAATAATACTATGTCGAAAATACGTTTGATCCAATAAAAAGACTTGTTGTAAATTCTTACGATAATCATGATGTCATCGTGAATAAATCGTATACTAATCCTCTAGGTTTTCATTTGCCTTTGTTCATTCTTGTTTTTTTTCTCGATGAAGTGGTGAATAATGGAAGAAGTGGAGAGATAGAGATATGCAGAAGCAATGAATTGCATGGCTCAATAGGGAATAGAACAAAGAGATTGTGTCTTCAACGAGAAGTAAAGGGGGGTAAAATGCACTGAAAGGCGGAGATCTATCCCGCGAGTGAGTGCAATATTCTAGCTTGTTGAAAAGATTACCAGATGCCAAGAATATGGGGCAACTTGCACCACTTCTTTTGGGGATCCCCCATACCATTTATATATATGTTATGTTATTATTACTAGCTACATATGACAATGGCGTCTTTTTCGGTCTTAGGTTTGATGCTTTATCAAAATTGGGGGTTTGTTCGTAATGATGAAAGCATGATAGGCTACTGGGGGGAGATTTATTCCCTTTTTAGTCTCTAATTATTCAATTTGCACCTTTGAACGTACGTTTTAAAAGGGAGATTGTGTCTCCTTCCGCAAAAGAAGGCCATTAGAGAGCTATAAAGATAGTGTCCTCCAAATCAACCGTACTCATAATCAATCTGGTATCACTTTGAAGCACTTTTTGTTGAGTTGTCATAGAATCTCTTTACGCCTAAATTGTATGATAGTAACGTATGGTTAGAGGTCTACACAACATGTGTCGTCCATACCGTATAGGAAATAGGGTTTCTTGTATTCCACATGAGTATACACACCTCTTGTAATCTCTAGCTGCCACTTGAGCTAATGAGAAAGAACTATCGTCTTTGTGTCGTGGATTAGTCTCAAACGATGAACCGTTGAGAATACCATGAAAATCTCCTTACTTCGTCTTTTTCGTTCTGTGAATCTTGATTTGATGAGTCTAACTAAATCAGGTTGAACTTCTCGGGGAGGTTGGATTATCACTTAACTATTTTGCAACTACTCAAGCATTTTGAACCTCTAGTTAATTTCTAGTACCGGAAAGAACTAATCCATTGTCTTTCTTACTTGACATGAATAAAATATGAGTGAAAGCTTCAAGTCATGGCCTCCATGTCCTGCTTTTTGCTTATCAATCCCTACTTCCCCCATAATAACAATTCACCAGAAGCCATACACAAACTTAAATTTGTCTAGGTTCATCTTAGTATGGACCATCTCCATCCCTCACTGGGCCTTCATAAATGCATACATTAATGGCCCATCTGTGCTCCCCTCTATTTCCATGGCCCATAATCCTCTCTCCCCATGTGGGTTTTCTGCCACCATCTCCTCCTAGCCCTACTACTACTAATTGGGACAATGCAGATGCAAACACGACTGTGACACCAAAGCAAAAGGCTGAGAGGCCAAACCACATGTGAAAAAGGAGAGTAAATAAATGGTAGTGTTGGAGCTTTTTAGTGATCCAACTTTTGTTTTAAAAATGGGTTGGAGTTTTTTTTTTTTTTTTGACACTTGAAACGATTCCTTTCTCCCATGTTCCCCCTTTCCCCTGCCTAATGGCAATTAGTGGGGTTCCCCAAACTTGTGGCCTTCAATCAGCATGGTCTAGTGGATGGGGCACTTACGCCTCATTATTATGTCTCCATCTTACTTATCAGATTTCCTGTCCTAGGTTTCAATATTGGAATAAGCATTCACGACGTATTAAGGTTTTTTCATGTATTCAGAGGAGGCCGAAGTTAAGAAAGGGATACAAAAGAGATGAGAGTACAAATAATGAGCAAATCCTTTACACAATAAAAATGGTTGTGGTTGCGTTTCCTTGCTCGAAGCCTGATTGGCATAAAGGGGCTACTTTTTTCCGCCACATTATATTGGTTAGGCATGCATGATGCATGGATAAATGGGAGATACCTGAAAATTCAATCATGCTACAATTATAATTATGATTACCATCCTTTATATCTTTTTTGTCTCCATCATACATAATTCTTGGTGTATTTCGACATACATAGACGGTTTGCCGTCTTTTTTTATGATTATAATTATCTTACAAAACATTTGGCTAGGCTAAATTACATATTTGGTCACTCAAATTACATAAATCTTCCACGTTTACCACCCGGATTACTTTTTTTTCTTATTCGTCACTTACTTTATAAATCGTTTCACCGGTAGTCACCAACGTTAGTCTCCGTCAAAGTCCGTTCACACCGTTAGTTTTTTTATGACGTGGCAAACGACACTGCTGACTTAACCGTTCATCTATGACATGTTAATTTAAAAAAATAAAAACTAATTATAAATAAAATTAATTAACAAGAAGGTAAAGATTTGCTCCGGGCAACACTGTAACCTTCCCTTCTGACTTGCTCCCGCCTCCACTACTCAGGCGGCAAAGGAGGAGGAGGAGAAGAACTGCAGAAAGATGGGGAAACTGGCAGCGCTGAAAGCAGAAGCCAATGCTGAAGCTACCTCCCGCAACATCAAGATCGCATCTCTAATACCTGATTCCCACAATTGGAGAGCGGCAATTCGAAATTGAAAGAATCCATATCAAGATTTCACATCCGTTGCAGCAATTGGTCTCAAGCAAGGTTGTCAAACCGGTTTATGCCGGTACGCCGGTTTTGTATGCAAAATGGTACGACCGCGGTACAACCGGTATGTACCGTTTTATACCGGTTTAAATAATTAAGTAGAAAAAATAAAAATATACAAACAAATAAATTAGACAAAAAAAAAAAAAAGAGAAGAAGAAATAAAATAGAGAAGCAGAGATCCAATCCAACCTATCATCCAAAAGCCCAAATCATACCTTCTCTCAACTAACCCTATTCCTCTCCTTCTCGTTTCTTTTCTTCTGCCGCCCCAAACTCAAAACACTCAGAACACCCTTCTTCCCTCCCCTCCTCCCACTGGATTTGCCCTTCTATTCTTCGTTCTTTGACGAAATAAATACAAGGGGATGACTCGCCATTTCTCCCTCCTCTCCACTTCTCGATCTGGCCGCCTGACTCGTCTTCGTTGCCGCGTTGGAAGAACAGGTAGTCACCGACCTCGTCGAGTCGCGCCTGCCGAGCTTCGCGCCGCCGATCTGTTGCCGACCAATTTTAGGATTCGTTGCCGACTTAGGGTCCAAAAGACAGAGGAATTCGGGAACAAATGAAAGAGGCGACTGAGTCGCGACTTGTGATTGCAAAACTGACCTGACAATTTATGTTTATCAATTTTGTGATTGCTAAACGACGTTGTATCAAGCAAAAACCGGAAATTAATATTCCGGTTGAACCACTGGTTTACCGGGAATTGACCGGTTTTGACCGGAATTGACCGGTATTGACCATAGAGTCATACCGGTGGTATTCCAGCCGGTTTTATGACCGGTACCGGTTGAACCTGGTACAACCGGCCGGCATACCACTGGCATGACAACCATGGACGTTGCGGTTGGAGCTGAAAATGCCATCGTGGGGTATGCGATAGGGGTGTTCAAATGGTTACCATGGTTATTATCAAACCAAATAAGGCTAAATTTCATTAACCATGGAATGCAATATCATAACCAAACCGTCCAAACTAATACAACAACCAAATTAACCAAACTAAAGTTTAATCGGTTTGGTTAATTGGTTAACCAGATTAACCAATCTAAAATCATATTATCATCAAGTAAGAAAATTTCGGTTAATTAATCAATTTATAATTTATATAATGAATAAAACATAACAATCAACACATAGTTATAGTTGACCCTTAACATAAATACATGCAACTAAGACAATTATCTTACAGTTAGTATAGAAGTATTCACCTAACAAAAATTTATCACAATGGTATGGATTAATGAATTGTTGTGTTTGTTTGAATTGACTTAGTCTTTTAGCAATTTTCATAGGCTGAAAAGGACCTTGCTTTCAAGTTTTCATCCAACATAATGTATGAGATTTATCTAAATTAGACGATCATATGTTGTGGTCTACACTCTACATATACAAATATACATTATAGGAACAATATCAAACTTTATATTTTATGAGTCTAAAAGGATGAACGTTTAACTCTTGAGTGGTTATTCAAAGTATTAAGTATGTGTATATATTAGATATATAACTAATTATTTATCTGGTTAATTTGGTTTGGCTGGTTAGGTGTGTCTGAAACCAAACCACCTAAACCAAACAAGCTAAAAAGTTTAACCAAACCAAACCAATTATCCAAACCAAATTATCCAAATAGTACTGGTTTAAAACGGTTACCATGATAACCACACCGTTTGAACACCCCTAGTATGCGATCCTCCTGAAGGAGAGGGACTTACTGTTGTCGCTTGGACACGTGGTGGCAGATTTAATAGAGTGGTGGCTGACCAGACGGACAGGAAGTTGAAGGAAGACTTGGGGTCTTGGATTGAGAATTCCCATATTCAAACGACGGTCGGGTTCTCTTTGGCAGGGGCATTGGGGTTGAGTAGTTCACCGCGATATGATGTTTACGGGAATGATTTCAGGTGGGGGAAGCCAACGGCGGTGAGGACTGAGGAGTGGAGGCGGGAGCAAGTTGGAAGGGAAGGTTACAGTGTTACCAGGAGCAAATCTTTTCCTTCTTGTTAATTAATTTTTTATATTTTAAAATTGACATGTCATAAATTAACGGTCCAATCAGCAGTCCCGTTTGCCACGCCATCAAAAAACTGACAGAGTTAACAGACTTTGACTGAGACTAACGACCGGTGACTGCCAGTGAAACTATTCATAAAGTTAGTGGCTAATAAGAAAGAAAATTAATTTGGGTGATAAACGTGAAATATTTATGGAATTTGAGTGATCAAACGTGTAATTTAGCCCATTTAGCTAAATACCAAATTTTATGTCAACGCATATTACAAATTAAATGATGCTAAAGACAAGAGCATCCACTAGGGTTTTCTTGTTCCAGCCACTTTCCCAAAACAAATAACTTTGTGTTAACTGTACAAGATAATTCACATATCATAGAAACAACAGATTATAGACAAGGCCTCATTGACCATGATTTTTTATTATTATCGGTAATTAAACTGATTCTTGAGATACTTGAGTATGGAAGTCGACAGCCGAAGGAGAGATAGGCGCAAACAAAGCCTCCTTCACATTACTAAGAATCCCTCTATCGTAGGGATTCATAGAACTCTTGTAGCTCTGGCGGAAATTCTCATAAGCGGTCTGCAATAAAACAGAAAATCACCAAGAATAAGAACTTCCTGAAGATTACTCCATGGATTCATCTAAACAAACCTAGTAAAAGCACTTATAAGTAACACATTGTTTTGTGTTATGTCAAATTATCATTTACCTGATTCACTGCAATCAGGTATAAATGAAATCCAACCAGGCTGCCCAAGAACCAAATTGCAGCAAAACTGAAAGCCAAGAGCGCCAACGTCTCAGGGCAGTCCTTCACCATCTCCATGAAACCAGACTGCCGCGCCACCATCCTTCCATGGATTCTCCAGCAGGAGATTGCAAATACGTAGACGAAGAAAACCAATGCAGAGAAGATAAACGCTAAGAAACGTCTATAATTCCTCTACGGAAAACAACCGAGCCAAAATCAGCACTTGAGATTTTGTCATCGGCTAACGGGAAAGACTATAGTAAAGAGGGACTTCTTTACCAATGCAACACATTGACCGATCCAGGGGCAATGGTGGTCGAATTTCTCAACGCAATTGCCGCAGATGTCGCAGTGGCAGCTCCTTGGAGGCCTGTAAATCTTGCAGATTCGGCAGTAGTTTAGCTTCAATTCCACCCCGTTGACAGTCACTACTCTGTTTTCTGTACTAGTTCTGGTGATGTTGCTCGAATCGGTTTCGTTGAAAGGCAGGGGAGGTTGGTTGCTTCTAGGGATGATTCCAGGATCGAATGCACTGGCTAGAAACAAGTTCACAAGAACCTGTATATGTGGGGAGCGGAAGAATCGGTAAAATTTGTGTGGAAAAAAAAAAAAAAAAACGGGTCAGTCCCTAACAACTTTAGAGGGAAAATGTAACATACAATTAGTGCTAGAAGGAGTGAGAAGAGTCTTGTGACAAGGGAATGGGGCAAGGAATCATCGTCAATGTTATAAATGGCGGAAACCCAACTCGAGATTACGATTGAAAACATCGTCAAAAGCAACCCTTTTGGATCTGGACCAAAGATGAGCCTTCCGTGAAAGAAAAACACCTACAATAATGAACCAACAAACAAAAAATTCGGATTAACCAGTTCCATCTCCTCTGTTTTTTTGGCAACAGTCAAAAAGGATATCAAAATGTGATTACGAAGTCCCGACGTTGTTTCCAGGCCAAACTTGGTAAATCCTTGCGCCGCTGCCGCGGGAAGATCGGCCTTCGCCTGTACAGTCGCATCGTCTCAGCAATTTCTTCTCCAAGGCCCGCGTGACGGCTCGAGATTTGAGTTTGATTGACGCGACGAATTGGGTCAAGGATTGAGATTTCGTTGATAATGAGTTGTTCCTGCTATGTTGTTGTTCTTGGGTACTGGAATCGGGAAGTTCGAGGATCATTGGCGGGGTGGAGAGTGCGATGGCTTCCATTTCAGATTCGTCATCTTCGTCTTCTTCAATTAGTGAAGTGATGGGTTCCATTTTTGTGTTTCTCTTGGTGGCAAAACTTCTGCGGAGGGGAGGACAAATGGAAGTGGAAAAGGAAGTGAGGGAGGGAAATAACCGACTTTTTGAAAAAAAGGGAAACATAGCGGTTATGAGTATGGGCTTGGGCTGGCCCCATTGTTAAACGTTAGCAATTTGTATTTTCATGTTTTCCTAAAGTATAAAAAGTAAAAACGTTTTTCCTCTCTGTGCAGGCCGGGCCCCTTTTAGTAAATTTCGTTTTTATAAACTAGGAGCGATGCCGCTCGCCGCCGCTCTTCTTTCCTTCCTCCACCGCCTCATATCCCTCTGGTTTTCGCAACGGAAACTAAAAGTAAGCACAGAAACGGAAGGAAAGAAGAAGAAACACCGGCAAAGGAAAGTTAACGGCAATCGGGGAGGGATTGAAAATGGAGGATAAGAAGAGCAAGATTAAAATCGCAGTGACGTTAATTTCTCTCGCAGCGGCTGCAGTTACGATAGCCTTCACGGCGGCGCATTACCGGAGGCGGCGGAAGACTAGAAGTTCGTGCTACTTGCACGCTGAAGGAAAGCCTCAGTTCTCTTTCAGGAGAGTGTTGGCTGACAATTCGTTCTCTCACTTCAAGCACTTGAAGCGCAGTAGTGCGTCGAGCAACGGTGAGTTGAGTCATTGAGACCATTGGTCTACCCTTTTATCTCTGCTTGTTCGCTGAGAATATTGATAATGGTGAACTCGAAATTTCAGCTCACTTTTACTTTAACAGACCTGATACCTGAGCTGTGTATTTCTCTGCTTGATTTATTGCACACTTCGGATAACATTCAAATTCTGACACTTTTTTGTTGTTGTTGTTGTTGCTATTCTGTAATGTTTGCAGAAGAGAATGGTTCCAATTTGCATCCTTATGAACAAGAGATTAAGGCTTTGTTGGAGAAACCACCAGTTGACTTCAAATTGGATAGCACTGGTTGGAATAGCAAAGTCAGCAGTTCATATGTTTGGGTTGAGACTGAATCTCAGTTGAAGGAGCTAGCAGATTTGCTGAGCAACGAGAGAGCTTTCGGCGTTGACACGGAACAGCATAGCCTACGGTCTTTTCTTGGCTTCACTGCTCTGATTCAGGTTTAACACTTTTGAGTTAGAAAATTGTGTTCTTTGAGTTAGAAGGATGATGGATTCTTGAGTTTTCTGATTCTTTTCCTTCGAAATTTTCTATGCAATGGCAGATATCTACTCGAACTGAAGATTATTTATTGGACACAATTGCATTACATGATGCAATGGCAGTTCTAAGGCCGGTTTTTGCTGATCCAAATATATGCAAGGTATATAACATGGTTAGCCGGTGGCTCTATATTTAGTCTTGGCTACAAGAAACAAGGATCAATTTGAAGCAGAAAGCAAAAGTTGAGTGGGCACCTTTAATTTTCGTGCACTAATGGGAATTTGGTTTGCCTAGGTATTCCATGGAGCAGACAATGATGTGCTCTGGCTACAAAGAGACTTCCACATATACATTGTTAATTTGTTTGATACTGCAAAAGTAAGGTTCACAAAGGCCTTGAATTTACCAGTCATAAAGGAATTATACATCACATTTATATTTCAGACTGCAGATAATGTGACAATTTTTACTTTGATATTCCAGGCTTGTGAGGTGTTGTCAAAACCACAAAAATCACTAGCATACTTACTTGAAACCTATTGTGGCATATACACAAACAAATTGCTACAGGTTTGGGACTCTGGTTATTTAATGATTCATTTTCCATATATCTAGTGAAACTTTCAAGTATATTTATTTTGGATGCATTATTGGTGAAGCATGCATCAGTAATATATGATTTTTTTCAAGAGTATTTCGAGTTAGAACTCTTATCACTTCATTTCTGCATGTTGGCTGACTTATCATATTGATTTGCAGCGAGAAGACTGGAGACAACGTCCCTTATCGGCAGAGATGTTAGAATATGCTCAGACAGATGCACACTATCTATTATATATTGCACGTTGTTTAATTGAGGAGCTGAGACAACATGATATAGGTAAGTCTTGCAAGTCTTATGGTTTTAAAAGCATATGGGTTTTTGTTATCTGCTGCTTGGTTCTTAGGGGGTAAAAAAAGAACAATTATATGCATTGTCATCAAGATGTGCGGTATGAGAATTATAATTGCATCTGGTAGTAGAGCATTCATGTAAAGTGTTTATTTTGGGTTGAGGAATATGAGACTCTCTTCTGTTAAGTACTAGTTGCAGATCACAAGCATTTAACTCACCTTATTGAAAACCTGGATGTCTCAATGTGCCTGAATGATACTCATCAATAATGGCACTAAAAACATTGTTGTATTCAGATAACTCAACTTCTTTAGATGAAAAACCGCATTATGTTGTTGAGGCAACTCGTCGTTCAAACATGATATGTATGCAAGTATACACGAAAGAGATTGATCTTTATCCGGGCGAGGCTGCTGCATCATCAATTCTTTCCCGTCATTTCGATGTTCATGAAGGTTCATCAACTTCAAGTGAGAAACAGGTGTGCCTCCTTGTCATAGCCTATTCAAACAACTTTTATGTATCTTTCATGGTAATCATTTCATTTAGTATCTCGCGTTTTTTCCCCCAGGATCTCGTAAGACGTCTGTGCACTTGGAGAGAACTGATGGTTAGTTAAACTTTCAGTAGTTTTGGATTTTGATTGTGACACGAATAGTGCTTTTGGAATTCAGAATCAGGACTGATAAAGCTTATTGGCTGTATGGCTACATCTTATTGTTGAACTGAACATGCTAGTAATTTTAGAAATCAGAGATGCAACAGCCTACCAGTATAGCAAAATCACCTACATGAATGTTTTTCCTTTTGTCATTCTTCTTGTTATTAGCATATGGTATCCTAGTATAGTATGCATCTCCAGTTTGACCATGCTTTGCTTGTGACAGAACCATGCAGGGAGCAAAGGATGCAACTTTCATGTTCCTTCTGGTCCTTCCTTCTAAGTAATTCCTTGGCCTAGGCATGTCAATGCAATGTTCTGTTCACTGCATCGATCCTGCCCGGCCTAAAATATTCGACTCTATTGAATGATTCATATTCCTTAGTGACATACTGTTACCTTTTGAGAACATTTTTCGCCGACTAGCTAAAGATTAAATGGTAAAAGAAGGTACTTTTTTAAATGAGAATAATTGCTGTTTGCACTCTGGAGAAGTGATTGGTTGGCTGCCTTGTACCTTATCTTTGCCACCTTTGAACTGCTTATGGCCAACTTTTCAAGTGCATTAGTGGATAATGTGATTACAGTAGCTTTTTTCCTGATATGATTTCACATTTACTTTTAAGTGATACGAAATCATGAGCTGCTTAGCTAGCTTTGGTCACTTGACACTCAAGTATTGAACATCTCATTTAAAATGCCTCTTGGTACAGTCTGCATCATTTCTTTTGAACCTAACCAATTTGCATGAACTTCCTTTCAGGCTCGGGTGCATGATGAGAGCTTAAGATATGTATTACCAGACCAAGCTGTTGTGTCTCTGGCAGAAAATGTTCCTACGAATCTGACAGAACTCTCTCAGCTTATTGCTCATGTTGATCATGATGCGGATCCTGTGAATCCCAATTGTTTTCTTCCTCCTCTGTCATCTGTGGTCACGAGTCATTTGGATGATTTGTTTTGCTTAATTCAGGAGAAAGAAAGCAAACTCGATGACATAATTTCTATCATTCTCCAAACATGTCTTGGTGAAAATGGGAGTTGCCCATTGTCTATCTATAATTATGCTCTTCTGGCCAACTGTGACTTCAAACTAACAAGACGAACGGTGTCGAAACAAAATGGGATTAGAGGTTCTAAAAAGGCTTCACGGAAGGGTTCACGAGCACGACAGCATTTTGTTGAGAAGTTCTCCTGTAAATCTCCAGTATATCATAACTGTAGGATTTTTGCAGACGATGGACGTTTGCTTTGTTATTGTGACCGGAGAAAGCTCGAATGGTCAGTGCAATCCGTCTGATTCTCTTGTCTTATTAATATTGCAAGCTCAATTTTTAAAGGTTACACTGAAGCAGGTATTGTTTTCCAACAGGTATCTCCGCCGAGATTTAGCAAAGCTTGTTGATGATGATCCTCCTGCCATAATGCTGCTTTTCGAACCTAAGGGCCGCCCGGAGGATGAAGACAATGACTTCTACATCCAGAGCAAGAGAAATATCTGTGTCAGCTGTGGTGAAGGGGGTCACTACTTACGGTATCGAGTAATACCTTCATGCTACAGAATACACTTCCCTGAGCATTTGAAAAGCCACCGTTCTCATGATATCGTCCTACTTTGTGTGGACTGTCACGAAGTTGCTCATGCTGCTGCTGAGAAGCACAAAAGGAAAATCGCTATCGAGTATGGCATACCACTGTTTGTTCGTAAAGTGGTGGATTCTAAAGAAACCCCCACAGCAATACCTGAATCAGCTTCATCGATGGGCAATGTGGAGGAGGAAGGTGTGTCTCCCTTACAACTGCGAACAGCTGCCATGGCCCTTCTGCGTCACGGGAAAGGAATGCCACCCAAGCGATATGATGAACTGAGACAGGTGAGTGAGAAAATCGTTGTTCTTTCCTCTGATGCCTTGTCATTGCAGTATGGGAACTGGAACAGGTTATCATCAGTGGCTCGTGCTAGGCTTGGTCTTTTTTCTCCAATTGTTAATTGTATGTCCATGGAACTCTGAAGTTTGTTGCTTTCCGTTTCGCTATAAGCAGATTGTGATGCAATACTATGGGGGAAGAGAAGTGTCACAAGAAGATTTGGAAAAGGCTTTGATGGTTGGAATGAGCCCTCATGAGAGAAGACGGTTTCAGAAAAAAAGGGGTGCTTCTTCAAAACTTCCTCTTGGGGTTCTTCAGGCGGAACAAGTAAACCACTATGTTTCAGCCTGTAAGATGGAACCACTTCTCTTACAAAAGGATCAAGACTTTCTGGCTGAGAAAGACGCTGACGAAAGCATGGGAATGGTCTCTGCTGCTACTGTTGCTGAGAAGGTGAACCCTGACGAAAGTGACGGTTCTAACAGAAGAGATATTGACATTGAAAATACTGACGTCATCCAGTCCATCACTGCATCAAATGGGGCAGGAGAAGATTCAATTTATTCATCTAAGAGCAACTCCAAACTATCTCTGCTCGGACATGGGCCCCATGGGAAACAAGTCGTTGAGCTTATAATGAAGGAGGAAGGAGAGGAAGGCATAGGCCAGTTTTGCCAGAGATGGAGACAAGTCTTCGTGGAAGCACTGAACCCTCGGTTCTTACCTGGAGGGTGGACTGTGATGCACAGGTATGTAAAGTTGGTTTTGCCCAGCATCTTCGCAGCTTCCTCACTTCATATACTGACTTATACATAATTCTGTCCTTAGCTTTCCCTCCAACCGCATCAATTGCTCACCTCACAGTTATCATGGAGACAGACAATTTTGATAGGGAAACGAATCTTTTTGTGTCTTGGCATCTTAGCTTAGGCAAATATATGCACGTAGGACAGCCATGTTACTTGTGTTAAGTTGTCAAACCTGAAAACCATCACTATCGTGAGAGCCTAAGCCTTCCAACTGGACTATTAGCTATGCATGATGTTTGATCTTAATTTCACAACTGAAATCATTTTTATTTTTTTTTATTTGCTCAAAAGGGTTTGATTTTGAGGTGTTTTTGCCAGTGGCAGAAGGGACTTTGGTGAGTTCAGTGTGTACAATCCTGCCAAGAAAGTTCCAGGCGCCTAAGAGATCGAAGGCCCTCCCATTCCATTCCTTCACTGCAAATCAGCAAATGCGACGTAGTGAACATTGTTGCTGTGTAGCTTTGTACCCAATTTCATAGTGAAATATGCCACTTAGTTAACAGGTCAAGGCCATGAATGGACAGGGGATGGTTTTCTCTTTTCTTCTTCATGCAAGGACTATGTCACTAAGAAATTTTGCCAGGCTTCTCCTTAACTTTATTTACTCAAAGCTGCTATTAATACATTTACAAAATTAGTCACCAAAATAGTAATTGACTATTTTGCTTGAAAATGATGATAAAACTATTATTAGAAATAATTGAAAAGTATTGCTAAATAATATTTGGAAAGCATTGAATTTAAAAAGAAAATACAGAAGAGTTAAATTGGATTTCTGAAAAAAAAAAAAACTAGGGTTAAGATTGAAAAGTAGTACAGGAAAAAAAATTCATTTGCAAAAGACCACGGGAGGATAGTCATTTACAATTTGATTCAACGGAATCATTTGAAATTTTCGTTACACCAAATGATTCTTTGTATCAAAATGATGCAAAAGCACACCGATTTTAGGTTGTCAACATGCATGCCGGTTGCAGCCAGCAATCCTAGCTGAGATGAGACTGGATTGCCTTCACCTATAGTGACCGGGAGCTCCATTCCCATTAGCCCCGTAGTCCAGACGATTGCTAAAGCTAATCCATTGAACCAAAGAACTGCAGGAGAAACTCAGACTGCCATAACAATTAACTAGTGAAATTCCAGATGTAGAACCCGAGGATATCCCAACCTTTACCACTGCCTACACAAAAGAAAGAATATAACGTGAAAAAACAAATTCTCTAGTGCAACTCTCATCCTACCATCTTCTTCTAACATTCTCAGGCTACAACCCATGTTATATGCTACATTTTCATCAGTCTTGTCAAAATGGAAAGCTTCAGTGACCCATCTCCAGCTAATGATTTTGTGCATCGTACAGTTGACCGGATTTTTTTTTATAGCAGAGTCAGCAAGCTTCACATGGCTGATGTATCGGTTTCTAACCCTACAATGACTGGGATCTGAAGAATAATATTGTGAAGAATGAGACCCTTATATAACAACTATTATTATCAGGTAGCTGACAAAATTAGGATTCAAGAAAGAAGTTATGATGTTACCCACCTGCTACGTTGGAGGAAGGACTATTTCACAAGGACAGTAATCGAGATTTGTGATCAATGCCGTTAAATATGAATGTGCCGGACATGGGAACGAACTGCTTTGTAATTAGCTGTTGTGGCAAAGAAGAGAGGGAGATCAGAGAAGCTCGAGAAAGACCTAGGTGAAGTTCAGAAACCAACAGACATCATGGTGGAGACTGATGGGTGTTTTCAGACTTAGAAATGTTGAAAGGAATAGAAGGGGAGGAACAAACCTTGATCACTTCTTGCGACGCAACACCGCCGACCAAAGCAGCAACAACATGGAGCTCTGAAGCTGCATACCGCCATATTTCGCTAACGAGGTCGTCGTTCAAGGGTGAACCACAACAACCCAAGTCGTTGAGCAGGGAAACTGCTGTGGATTTCAAGCGAGCAATGTCCTCGTCGATTGCCCTACAAGAGGCATCAGAGAGCTGATACAAAATTACTTCTTTAAAAACTTTTTTCTGTTTGTTAAGCAAGCCACGAGTTGTTTATTAAAAGTTAAGCAGACAGCCATTACCCTTCAAAATGGCCACGAATGACTTTGTTGTAAACATAGATAATAATAGCATGATCTTAGATGATTTCACGAATCGACAATAGATTGGGGAAACCTACCTCGATTCATGACGAGAGCGGCGGCGGCGCTGGAGTAGTATTCACCGGAATTGAGTTTCTCCCTCTTGACCCCTTTAGGTTTTAGGTTTTGAGATTTCTATGATGGCTAAGAAATTCTACGTAATGGGTTGAGAGAGAACCAATCCTAGACCCACCATCAGGGTATATTAGGAATTTACCTTTTCATTAACCTAATCAATATAGGATTTACCTTATATATTAAACCATTAAGTGATAATTACACTTGGGCCACAATTATTCCCTAGTGACCTACGAGAATTGGGCTTACATTCTCCCACTTGGTCCATGTGTCATTATATATCACAAGATCTAAGAATAAACATAAGTGTGCACATCATAAGATAAATCCATAATATTTGGTTCACCATAAAGTTATAATCAAGTATGAAAACTAGATTATGATCATGGCGGTTCTATATCAATTTATCGACATAGTCCCTTCCATGTACCACCAAACCAGTCTCATGCTTAATATGACACATAACAAGGTATTTATAACGGTCCAACAATAATGTCTTTCCTAAAGACAAATATCTTGTTTTGTTCACATAATGCATAATGTATATATACTGATCATAATAAATAAAACAAGATTCATAACTTTATTCCAGAAACAAAATAAATGAGCTTAAAGTGTCAATCCATGAAACATAAAATAACTTTAGTCATGACGTCCTATAATCCCCATCCTTTCGACATGTTCAGTAAATGTCTTAGGATGCAATCCTTTTGTTAATGGATCAGCAATCATAAGCTGTGTGCTAATATGCTCGATCGACACCCTTTGTTTCTGAACTTCTTCCTTAACGACAAAGTATTTCACCTCCATATGCTTAGCACCCTTCGAATACTTGTCATTCTTAGAGAAGAATACCGCTGCGGAATTATCACAGTAAATTTTCATCGGCTTGGCGATAGTGTCGACAATTCCAAGTCCAGAAATAAAATTCCGCAGCCATAAACCATGATTCGTAGCTTCATAACAAGCTATGAATTCAGCTTCCATAGTGGATGTGGCAATAACAGACTGCTTCGCACTCTTCCATGAAATTGCCCCTCCGGCTAGAAGGAACAAATAGCCAAAAGTAGACTTCCTGGTGTCTACACATCCAGCATAATCTGAATCTGAATATCCAATCACCTCAAGGTGATCAGATCTCCTAAAGGTGAGCATGTGGTCTTTTGCTCCTTGCAGATACCTTAGTACCTTCTTTGCAACTTTCCAATGATCTACTCCTGGATTACTTTGATACCTGCCCAGCATTCCGACAGCAAAACTGATGTATGGTCTGGTACAAGTTTGTGCATAATTCAAACTTCCAATAATAGATTCATAAGGAATGTGTTCCATTTGCTTGCATTCCAATTCATTCTTTGGACATTGTTTGAGACTAAATTTATCTCCCTTCTGAATTGGAACGACATTTGCAGAGCATTCAGCCATGTTGTATCTCTCTAGGATCCGGTTAATGTATGATTTCAGAGACAATCCCAACAGTCCTTGTGATCTATCACGAAATATTTCTATTCCAATCACATAGGATGCCTCACCCAAATCCTTCATTTCAAAGTTCTTAGAGAGAAACTCCTTGGTTTGATGTAATAAACCAAGATCATTAGTAGCAAGCAAGATATCGTCAGCATACAGAACTAGAATTATAAACTTACTCCCACTAATCTTCAGATATATACATCGATCGACGATGTTCTCCTTAAATCCAAAAGATGTAATGGTATCATTGAACTTAATATATAATTGTCGGGAAGCTTGTTTAAGTCCGTATATTGACTTCTTTAATTTACACACCATATGTTCTTTTCCCTCAACCACAAAACCTTCAGGTTGATCCATATGGACTGCTTCATCTAAATTCCCATTCAGAAAGGCGGTTTTCACATCCATCTGATGGAGCTCTAGATTATAATGAGCTACCATTGCCATGACAATCCTTAAGGAGTCTTTCTTAGAGACGGGTGAAAATGTCTTTTTATAGTCAACACCACTTTTCTGAGTGAAACCTTTGGCAACAAGTCTGGCCTTGTGTCTTTCGATATTGCCATTAGAGTCGTGTTTTGTCTTCCAGACCCATCTATTACCAACTCTTTTACAACCTTCAGGCAAATCAACAAGGTCCCAAACTTCATTTTTATACAAAGATTTCATCTCTTCTTTTGCGGCAGCTAACCATTTATCAGAATGCTCACTTTTCATGGCTTGTGAAAATGAAACTGGATCATGATAGAGTCCTAAATCAGATTCTAACTCGTGAAGATAAACCTCATAATCATCAGAAATTGCATGCCTTCGATTTCTTGTAGACCTTCTTAATGTGATTTCTTGTGGTTCAACTATGTTAGGTTCATTCTCAATAGCAATATTAGGAGGTGCTTGACCGTTCATTTGTTGTTCCTGCAAATCGTTATCATGCTCAACATGTGCAGGAGCAACAACTTGAGTAGAGGGTAGAGGTAAAGATATTTGCACTCTAACTTCTTGAATTTCCACATTGCGTGGCTCTAAGCTCCCACTAACTTCACCATTCTCAATGAACCTAGCATTTCCAGTTTCAACAATTCTCGTACTATGGTTAGGGCAATAAAATCGATACCCCGTAGATTTTTCTAGATAACCAATGAAGAAACCACTGATTGTTCGTGAGTCCAGTTTCTTTTCATGTGGATTATATATTCTCACTTCCGCTGGGCAACCCCAAACATGCAAGTGCCTTATACTGGGTTTCCTTCCCGTCCACAGTTCAAAAGGTATCTTAGGAACTGCTTTACTAGGAACCCTGTTTAACAAATACACAGCGGTCCTTAAAGCGTGCATCCACAATGATTTGGGTAAAGATGAGTTTCTTAACATACTCCTAACCATATCCATTAAAGTACGATTCCGCCTTTCTGCAACACCATTTTGTTGCGGTGTTCCTGGCATAGTGTATTGAGCACAAATACCACGTCTTTCTAGGAACTTAGCAAATGGACCAGGGCACTGTCCACTTTCATCATATTTTCCATAATATTCTCCACCTCTATCAGATCTGATAATTTTCACCTTTCTTTCTAATTGCCTCTCAACTTTATTGATAAACACCTCAAGGTTATCTACCGACTGAGATTTTTCATGCAGCAAATAGATATATCCATAACGTGAAAAATCATCGATAAAGGTAATGAAATACTTTTCTCCACCAAGTGAGGCAACATCAAAAGGCCTACAAATATCAGTGTGTATAATTTCAAGGAGCTGTGAGCTTCTTGTGGCTGCTTTCTTAAGTGTGTGTTTTGTGTGTTTTCCTTTAATACACTCAACACAAATTCCAAGGTCAGTAAAATCCAAATGAGGAATGATTTCATTCTTTACTAGCCTTTCCATTCTTTCTTTGGATATGTGACCCAACCGTTTATGCCACAAGTAAGCAGAGGATTCATAAAACAAACCACGTTTAATACCAATATTATGATGCAAGGTTAAGAG